AAACTACTGGGTCAAATGAAATAATTATTTTTGCGTTAGCTAGTCTATTCATTGAGAAAGGCTATAGGCTAATTCATCACACCACAGTCAATAAGAGCCGAGCAGCAGACAAAACTGCATGAGAATGAAATGACTTAGAGCAGGTTGGCTACTTTATGTAATTAATTAAAATGCTTGCTAAGTGCTAAACTTAGGCATGACTGATCCATGTTACCAAATTCAATCCAAATCTAGCACCTAGCTTCACTGGCAAAGTGACTCACAGATTATTAATCTAAACCATAAATGAGTATGTTTCAAAATTACTTATTAATTGTTTAGTTGGAATAAACTGGACTTTAGTTAATCAAAAATATGCGAAACGAAATATAAAAGAGCCAAAAATATGTTAATATTTATAGAAAATATGTTTAGTTATAAAAATTAAATATTTAATATACATTTGAAAGTTACCTTGCATACGAAAACAAATTCAGCCGGGGTTGCGGGGTAAGCGCAATGAGGCACCGCGACCTCGGCATAGAGCAGGAGAAGGAACAGGGGGGTTTTTAGTCAGTAAGAGTCTGACACTCCCTCCTGCCCGGCCCTGGGCGGGAGAAGTAATTTGATGATTTTCCCCTCACAAAAAAAAAACGAAAACAAATAATATTGAGTCATATACATAGTCAACCTATAAAAATAGAAAAATGAATATACATATGAATATAAACTTATAAAGGTATTTACAAGGACTAGATAATAAATATTGACAACAAAATATAAAGTTGCTATCAATATTGTTGACAAATATATTTTGTATATCAGCCATTGGTTCCAAGATAAGAAAATATTGTTCATATGATTGTGGTAACTATAAATTCAATTTGCTATAAGTAGGTATATTAACTAATGGGCTGAATCAATAGATCGATTCCCTCACACGAAAAAATAAAGAAAAAAAAATAAACTGTTTTTTCTTTCGATTTATGAAAACAAAATCGATTTTTTCTTTTAATTTTGTGTGTTAATAATATTAGATAAATATTAATTTGAAGTCTACGTAAACACCAATGAAAATTAATTCTTTTTAACCCCTGACGGAAAATGAGGGGAGTTTGACATGTCTGTCTGTCTATCTGTCTGTGTCATCCTGGATCCTGAATGGACGCAGCGGTTTCTGTGACTTACGTACAATGAGATGTTTAAGAACAGACATGTTTGATGAAAATCGGTTGAGCCGTTTAGAAGTTATGGGGGTGTAAGTGGGGAAGGGTAACCGAAGGTCTGCAAATATACTCGAGAGGGATCTCAAATGAAAGCGCACTTAAAGGGAATTTTAATGACTTAATCGAGACTGCTCTTAGTAATATAAAATGACATAAAATACTTTAAAAGTATAAAATAAAAATAAAAATTTAAAAGACCCCTATTTTTGGCAACACACACATGTTATGCGCGGCTCACAGAGCCCATAGATCACCACAGATGGGACCCAACAAGGCCGATGTTTGGCAGGGATTATGAGGCATTCTCAATAATATACCACGGCCTCAGCCTGGACTAGGAGAAGGAACAGGGGTTTAGTCAGTAAGAGTCTGACACTCCGTCTCATCCTATCCAGGGAAAGAAGTCATTTGACGAGTGTCTCTGTTCAAAAATGAAAATTAGTACGAACTAATTAACGATGTAATTTTTCTTTGCTAATGCGAGTTTATTAGATACTAGTTACTCTCGCGCGGTATCACCCTCTGCTCGGCTCCATATGATCGTAGCGTGATGTTTTATAGCCTATAGCACTCAGGAACATTGTAGCTATCTATCAGTGAAAGAATTATGGCAATCCGACCAGCGGTTCTAAAGATTACCCCCTACATACAAACTTACAAATTTTACCTCCTTATAATATTACCTGCTGCTCTCTCGCGGTTTCACCCGCTGCTCGGCTCCATTTAATAGTAGCATGATGTTTTATAGCCTATAGCACTCAGGAAACTTGGAGCTATATATCAGTGAAAGAATTTTGGCAATCCGACCAGCGTTTCCAAAGATTACCCCTTACATACAAACTTACAAACATACAAACTTACAAATTTTCCGTCTTTATAATATTAGTATAGATAGAACAGAAAAGAAATTGTTTAATTTTTTTTATTTATTGTTTAGTTATTGTAAGGGTAACATAACTGAAAGCGCGCGAGAGCGGCTAGTATACTAAGTAGTAATAGTAAAAAGCATTTAAAAATACAGATAGATAGGTATGTGAATGCTATAAATTGATGAAACATGACGTCACACATAGCAAGGTAGTTGATCCTCAAAATAGGCGCAGGTGTTCATAGTTATCAGTATTTCTTATCGACACTGATGACACACAATGCTAAGCCAAAAACACAATTATAGAAAGTATTCAATTTAGAGCAGATTTTTCAATAGTCAGATAAATGTTATCTGAGGAATAAAATTGTTGCTGTCACTGTCTTATACAAACATTCTGACGCGACAGCATCGTAATTATTCCCCAGGTAACTTTTATCTAACCATTAAAAATAATCCCTTACAAAAAAAAAAAAACTTAGAAACGTGTGTACTAATGCAATTTGACGTATAAAAGAATGTCTCTAAACTCTCATTCTTGTAGTGCCCACTGCTAAACAAAGGCCTCTTCTCACACTGAGATGGTTTGAGCATTAATCACCACGCTTGCGTTAGTAGGCTTGGTGATTTCAAACTTATACTTATAAGTGTGGGAGAGCTATGCTTCGGCACGAATGGGTCGGTTCGACCGGAGTGATACCACGGCCTCACAGAATACCGGCGTGAAACAACCCACACCGTTGTGTTTCGCCGTGTGAGTGAGGTTACCGGAGGCCCAATCCCTCCCCATATCACTTCCCGATACTTATATCCGTAACCCCTATCCCCAAAAAGCCGGAAACGCACTCGTAACTCCTTTGGTGTTTCGGGTGTCCATGGGCGGCGTCGATTGCTTACCATCAGGTAATCCGTCTGCTCGTTTGCCGACGTATACCATAAAAAAATACTTCGTTTAGAAGAGCAGGTTTCCTCATGTTGTCCTTCAACTTACCGAACGAGGATATAACCATCCATAGTGGTTATATCGTCTTTGATCTTGCCTATATCAGTGGTGCCTAATAATTATAGAGTACCTACATAGAACTAGGTCACGTAATATATAATAGTAGCTACTCTCGCGCGGTTTCACCCGCTGCTCGGCTCCATTTGATCGTAGGGTGATGTTATGTAGTACGTAGTGCCTATAGCACTCAGGAACATTGGAGCTATCTATCAGTGAATGAATTTTGGTAATCCGACCAGCGGTTCCAAAGATTACCCCCTACATACAAACTTACAAATTTTACCTCTTTATAATATTAGTATAGATAAGTAAGTCACATTGATAGTTGCCAGATGTCTTAATCTCTGGGCCACCAGGACATTTATTTATACAAAAACATACAAAAAGATTTGTTCCATTCGAACCAGTCGTTCCGGAGATAAGCGCATGCAAACAAACAAACTTTACAGCTTTCTGATATTAGTTAGATTATATTATTAAATGTCTCTTTAACGGTCATTTAAACTAAATTTCAAAGTTAAACAAGCATTTGTAAAGGTATGTTTTACTCGTTATAATGATTCTTAGTGATGGTGTAGATACCTAAATTACTTAATTACTAATTACGTTTGACAGAGATAGTTGTCACTAAAATACAAAGGGCACTATGTGATAAGGAAAACGAATAACTTATAATACAAGGTTAAACTTTGCATTTTTTTTAAAGTACTTTCGAACAATGAGTATTTTTTTTTCTGAGGGGAAAATCATCAAATGACTTCTCTGATCCAGGATAAGGCGAGAGAGAATGTCAGACTCTTACTGACTAAGATTCCCCCGGTTCCTTTGTTTCGCGCGGGTGTGCATATATAAGCTTTGGCACGAATAAGTCGGCTCGACCGGAATGATACCACGGCATCACAGAAAATAGGCGTGAAAGAACCACAGCGTTTTGTCTCCCCGTGTGAGTGGTTGCCGAAAGCTCAATCCGTCCCCTTCCCCAATACCTAAATCTCTATAACCTTTATCCCCAAAAGACCATCAACCCAGTAGTAACTCCTCTCGTGTTTAAAGTGTCTATATGGGCAGCGCTGATTGCTTACCTTCAAGTAATCCGTCAGCGCTTTTGCCGACCAAAATATAAAAGAAAATAAAATAGAACATTTTATGTAGCCTGTGTTTAACGTATATCTACTTAGCTTAAAAAAAGTGAAAGAATATTTCAAATCGGTCCAGTAGTTTCGGAGCATATTCAATGCAAATAAGCAAAAATAATCAATTAAGTCCTTTCTTTATAATATTTTGTTTACATAGATAACAGCTATTTTGTTTCTCAAACAGTAATTAAAATCAATATAAAGATTCTTAGTGTAAGTATTAATTAGCAAGTTTAAGTACCTAATTATTTATATACAAGTAAATAAAATTAACAATTTGCTCGTAAGTTGAGTCGGTAATCAGAGTTACTGGTGTGGTGAGGAGTCTAGACTCATTCCCGATCCGGCAAAGAAACGAAACAGAGAGCTTTTTTTTCAAATTTTGTTTTAAACTAAACCCCATAATAGGGTTTTCTCCTGTGACGTAAGTGTGTTTACAAACATACAGGTAATTTCACATACATCACACCCAGACACGGAACAACAATTTGTGGATCACACAAAGAGTTGTTTCGTGCGGGAATCGTAATCGTGACGCGTTGCACGGCAGCCAGTTGCCCAGCCACCGCGCTAACCATGCAGTCGTTATTATAAGTACCTACATATATGTATAAAATTAATTCACATGTTTTATTCATTAAGTTAAGAAATCTACAATATGATGTTAACAGACAAACATAATTAGCACTAAACTTTCACATTAGTATTATTAGTATAATGATATTGTAATTAGAGTAATTATTGATTTAGTAATTAAACGTAATTATCTTTTGGTTCCAGAGGTCAGGATGTCGCATCCACACTACAGGGAGGCGGCGGAGTCGCTGCTCAGTAGTGTCAGCCCTCACCATCGGACGCTAAGTAAGATAATTTTAATATTTATATCATCATCATCATCATCATCCTATAAGTGCCCACTGCTGAGCAAAGGCCTCTTTCTTCCTATTTTTTTTTATTTATTACTACTCTCTCGCAGTTTCACCCGCTGCTCGGCTCCATTTAATCATAGCGTGATGTTTTATAGCCTATAGCACTCAGGAACATTGTAGCTATCTATCAGTGAAAGAATTTTGGCAATCCGACCAGCGGTTCCAAAGATTACCCCCTACATACTAACTTACAAATTTTACCTCTTTATAATATTAGTATAGATAAAAATTCAATAAGGTACAATATGGTATGGGATTTTCTCCGGTGTCGTGGATCCGTTTACAAACATACAATTTCACATACACATGACATCCAGACCCGAAACAACAATTTGTGGAGCACACAAAGAGTTGGATCGAACCCGCGACACGTTGCTTGCCCAGCGCCAACCATGCAGCAATTTCTTTTTTATGTTATAACGAGCAGACAGATTACCTGATGGTAAGCAATCAGCGCCGCACATGGACACCCGCAACAAAAGAAGAGTTACGAGTGCGTTGCCGGCCTTTTAGGCATAAGGGTTTTGGATATTCAAGGATTGGGAAGGGATGCGGGAGGGATTGGGCATCCGGTAACCTCACTTACACTGCGAAACACAACGCTGTGGTTGTTTCACGCCGGTTTTCTGTTATGCCTTGGTATCACTCTAGTCGTGCCGACCCATTCGTGCCGAGGCATGGCTCCCACACGTTCCTTCTTTTTCTTTTTATATCTGTTTATCTTTGGGCTATAACTTTGTGCAGCATGACCTGTGCCAATTTTTGTTTAAATGAAACTGATCTTCCCCTGTGTCGTTTATAAACATAAAACTTCATATACACCTGACTCTAAGACCAGTTTTTTTTTTGTGAGGGGAAAATCATCAAATGACTTCTCCCGCCCAGGGCCGGGCAGGAGGGAGTGTCAGACTCTTACTGACTAAAAACCCCCTGTTCCTTCTCCTGCTCTGTGCCGAGGTCGCGGTGCCTCATTGCGCTTACCCCGCAACCCCGGCACTCCAAGACCAGTAACAACAATTTGATAACACAAAGAGTTGTTCCGTGCGGGATCGGCTCGTTGCTCGCCAGTGACCAGCATTGACTTTCTTTCTTTCGATTTCTTGCAGCCCACTCCACGTCTCTGAACCTGGTGTCCGAAGACCTGGTGGCGGGTCACAGGCCGCAGGGCAAGATGTCTACAGTGAGACGGTTCTTCTGTCTGTTCGTCACTTTCGACCTATTATTCACCAGTCTGATGTGGTTAATTTGTGTCATGGTGAGTTTTTTTTTTACATACATAATAATATTAGATACTAGCTACTCTCGCGCTGCTCGGTTCTATTTAATCGTAGCGTGACGTTTTATACCCTATAGCACTCAGGAACATTGTAGCTATCTACCAGTGAAAGAATTTTGGCAATCCGACCAGTGGTTTCTAAGATTACCCCCTACATACAAACTTACAAATTTTACCTCTTTATTATATTAGTATAGATAAAAACCGCATCAAAATTGGTTGCGTAGTTTCAAAGATTTTAGCATAGGTACATAGGGATATAGGGACAGAGAAGGGGACTTTGTTTTATACTATGTAGTGTAAATTCGATATAAATATTACATTTGATTTGCTGTCAATACATGCATCAATAATTATAGTAATATTTTCATAAAATTTTCAGATGCGAGGTGAAACTCTACAACAAATAATGAATTCTGAAATAGTTCAGTATAATGTGAAAACGTCATTATTTGATATAGTGATGGTAGCTGTCTGTCGGTTTGTTGTCCTACTACTGTTCTACGCCATACTATATATTAATAATTGGAGTATTATTGCGGTGAGTCATTTCTTTGTATTATTTTTTCTCAATCAAAGTCGAATCATTTATTTCATGAACGATGAATGTCCATGTGCTTTTTCCCCATCTTTTATTTTTCGGCAAAAGAGCAGACGGATTACCTGATGGTAAGCAATCAGCGCTGCCCATGTACACCCGCAACGGAGGAGTTACGAGTGCGTTGCCGACCTTTTAGGGATTTGGAGATTTAGGGATTGGGGGAGGGGAAGGATTAGGCCTCCGGTAACCTCACCCACACGGCGAAACACAACGCTGTGGTTGTTTCACGCCGATTTTCTATGTGGCCGTGGTATCACTTCCGTCGAGCTGACCCATTCGTGCCGAAGCATGGTTCTCCCACACTTATGTGATAGGTTGGCAAACGAGCTCCATATTACCTGATGGTAAACAATCAGCGCCGCCCATGGACACCCGCAACAGTAGAGAAGTTACGAGTGCGTCGCCGACCTTTTAGGGATTTGGAGATTTAGGGATTGGGGGAGGATTGGGCCTCCGGTAACGTCACTCACACGGCGAAACACAACTCTGTGGACCATCTCCAAATTCCCAAAAACCTAACTAGCTATAAAAGTCCAATTACGCACTTGCAGCGTCCATGGGTGGCGTTGATTGCTTACCATCAGTCTGTCTGCTCGTTTGCGAACTTAGCATAAAATAATAGGCTCTTTTAAACGTCAAACAAAGATTAAAAGATATAAAGTGTCAGTCTGTCGGTCAGTCCTCTTAGTGAAGCTATTTGCTCGTTCCAAAGTGTAGATTCCTATGGAGAAGGCCGAGCTAGAAACTCCATGGTTACTCTTTTAGTTTCACGCCATCTGTTGAACGTTGTCGTGACTATGTTGTCACAAACTAATACATATTCATATAATTTGTTTCAGTTGTCGACAGGGTCCACGTGTGCCTTGCTAATAGCAAAAGTATTTGTTTTTGATGTAAGTATAGTTTTTATTTTGTAATATGTATATTTAGCTGATAAGTACCTTAACTTCTTTCTCGATAAATGGAGTCACTAATTTAAAAAAAAAATATCAACTTTTAAAATTTCGCGTTTCATATTAATAACATTATATTTACGCGGGTATTAACGCGGATGAATACCTTGGTAGCACCCGTGCAACCGGGTCGAAACTTCAAGCCCACCAAGGTATTCAAATAATAATTTTTCGCGTTAATACCCGCGTAAATATATGTTATTAAGAATAATCAAATTCGAACCAGTGCAGTCGTTCCAGAGATTAACGTGTTTAAATAAACAAACAAAGATCATTAAAAGATCTCTTTTATTCAGCTTTGTGTAATAATAGTAAATAGGTACATGTAATTCAATGCATTGTGATTTTAGAGAATAAATAATTTTGTTGCCCTCGTGGGTCTTAACTTTGAAATCACTGCAGTTAGTCCGGTTAAGTAGAAAAAATAAATAAAAATAAAATGTAGGTAATTTTATTATAAAAATGTTTTTTCAAGCGTTACAGACTTGTTTTTATAATTTCCATACGGAAATAAAAACTCTCCATCTATGTATACATATATAAATAGATTCGCCAAATGTATTAGTTTTTTTTTGTGAGGGGAAAATCATCAAATGACTTCTCCCGCCCAGGGCCGGGCGGGAGGGAGTGTCAGACTCTTACTGACTACAAACCCCCCTGTTCCTTCTCCTGCTCTGTGCCGAGGTCGCGGCGCCTCATTGCGCTTACCCCGCCACCCCGGCTGAACATCAGCCCTATAGAGGTCCATCTATTGGCTCTTTGAGGCGTGCCCAGAGCAGGAGAACCCATGCAGGGGTTTTTAGTCAGTAAGAGTCTTATACTTGAACTCCTTCTAAACGGCTTGACCGATTTAATGCTTTTTTTTTTCTGTAACATGCGTTAGAGTGGCGCCTTGGATGGTTTAGATTCACACATCAGCCCGGTAGATGGCGCTGATTGCTTGAAAAAGCATTTGATCTCGGAAACGGCCCTAAAGATTTCGATGTCCTCTTCAATCACTCTTTCTATTTAAAAAGCCGCATCAACATCCGTTGCTTAGTTTTAAAGATACATAGGGATGTAAGGACAGAGAAAGCGACTTTATTTTATACTATGTAGTGATTAATATACATGTATATATTTTTTTAAATAGGTAACTAATGAACTAAATGCTTTAGTAATCATACTTTTTCTTCCCCCCTCCCCCCAGTGGCCTAACGCCGTCCAGCCGGTGTACGAGGTCTTCCTAATCCTAACCTCGTTCACGCTAGCGTGGGGTGAGGCGTGGTTTCTGGACTTCAGGGTACTGCCTCAAGAGTTACAGGCTAAGCAGATCTTGGAGTCGATTGGTATGTATATATTACGTCTTTAGGTATTTTAACTAGATCGCGCACCGTGGTCGCCCAGAGCTTATGGCGCCCGCTTCTCATGCATGAGGGTGCGGGTTCGTATCCTGACAAGTACCAATGTGACTTTCTATGATTATGTAGACACCACTGACATACGGTGAAGGAAAACATCGTGAGGAAACCTGGACTTGTAATTCCTAATTGTAAGTTTGAAATCCCAACACCGTCTTGAGTAAGTGTGGTGATTAATGCTCAAACCTTCTCCGTGTGAGAAGAGGCTTTTGCTCAGTCAGTCAGACTTAAAAGTTTTTCGTTTACAAATTAAATTGACTGTATGGTAGGTGCGGTGGCTGGGCAACTGGCTGCCGCGCAACGTGTTGCGGTTTCGATTCCCGCACGGAACAATTATTTGTGTGATCCACTAATTGTTGTTCCAGGTCTCAAGTGTATAGAAATTGTATGTTTGTCAACGCACTCACGATACAGGAGAAAATCCTAGTGTTAACTTCTTTTTTTGTCACCAGTCCACCACAACGCTTCAGAGAGGACACCGCTCCTGCAGCCCCAAGTTCCTTATGCTGGCCAGTCCAATTATGCAGAGTCTACAGTCAAGTGGTTCTCTCCAGTCGAGACGCCAGAATCCAGTCCAAGGCCGCGCAGACCTGGTGAACAGGTCATATTGACTCAGGAACAGGTATGTAGAGCATATTTGTGTAATAAAATACGTGATACTACGAAAAATAGGCGTGAACCCACGCTCGCGCTATGTTTCGCCGTGAGAGTGAGGTTACTAAGACTTCACCACTTTTGAAAGGCTTGCAACACACTGCAAACTCCTTGGTGTGGTCAGTGCCAACTGCTGACGATCTGTTAATTTGTGCACCGAAAAAAATGCTGTTCTTCGTCGCGAAAGAAGATCATGATTATAGGCCCCGGTTAGGCTCGAAACCCGTCGAGATTCGACCGTAATCGAATACATAGTTTGATATTTAAAAGGTATCCTCGTAATATACTTTAGCCCTAGTGCAAATTCTGTCGATTTGGTATTTTATCATTATCAAAAAATAATCTTAGTAAACCCGTATTCATTCTTTTATACTCATCCAAAAATATATCACAACAAGTTAGGGTCGAAATAAAAAAAAACCTTCCTAAGTTACTTATAAGGAACCCTCATAAAATATTTATTTTTTTCTTTTGCGTTCTAAATTTTATATGGCGCCTGAAGTTAAACATAATCCCAGGTACATGGTAAACCTTCGGAAATATCCCCAATAATGTCCAAAGACCTCTAAGGTCACTTCACAGACAATTTGCATCAATAATCTGCATTATGAAGACATTAATTGCATAGAGGCAACCGCCGGCGATCAATTGATTCTAATTTAGCTTACATACATACATTATTTGTTTGTCCTTGTGTCTGTTTGAACATCTGTCTGTAAGGAGCTTAAGTACCTAGTGGTACCTTTTTGATTATATGGTTTTATCATCATCATCATCATCAGCCTATCAGCTGCACTGAGACTTAGTGAGTGAGCGTAGTTCTAAGTTTGAATTTTTTTTTTTTTTGTGAGGGCAAAATCATCAAATGACTTCTCCCGCCCAGGGCCGGGCGGGAGGGAGTGTCAGACTCTTACTGACTAAACAGCCCCCTGTTCCTCCTGCTCTGGGCCGAGGTTGCGGTGCCTCATTGCGCTTGCCCCGCAACCCCGGCTGAACATCAGCCTTAGAGGGCCCCGTCTGTGGTGGTCTATTTGCTCTTTGAGGCGCGCGCGGAACGCTACGCGCCGTACGCTCAGGTCTAAGTTTGAAATATTGTATATGCGCCTAAGTTCAGATTTTTCAATAGTCAGATAAATGTTATCTGAGGAATAAAATTGTTGCTGACAGCATCATGATTATTCCCCATGTTACTTTTATGTAACCATTGAAAAATCTGCCCTAAATGTTATACTTAATGACAATTATAGTATTTTATGTTGATGGTGAAAACAGTATTATGGATACTTTATTTTTGTTAAACAGTATAATGTAATGAAAAATAGTATAATACTGTTTTAACAGTATAGTTGGCAACCCTAGATGTAATTGAAATACTTGATTTTGACTTTGACTTCGAAAAATAATTTTCTCATACTGACCCACTCTTCATTGCCGAGGTTGTGTTGTATAATTCACGACGTACAATGTCGTGCAAAAATATCTGGCAAGCTAATATTTTGTAATACATAGTTAGCTGGGAAGCTAATACATATAAGTGTGGGAGAGCCATGCTTCGGCACGAATGGGTCAGCTCGACCCGAGTGATACCACGGCCTCACAGAAAACCGCCGTGAAACAACCACAGCGTTGTTTCGCCTTGTGAGTGAGGTTACCGGCTCAATCCTTTCCCTCCCCCAATCCCTCCCTAATCCCAAAATCTCTAAATCCCCAGAAGTTCGGCAACACAATCGTAACTCCTTCGTTGTTGCGGGAGTCCATGGTGGGAGCACGTTTGCCGACCTATCAGTTAAAAAAAACTACTCTTGTGCAAATTCACTCCCTACTCGCCTCCCATTGGCCGTTGTAACGATGGAGTTTCTTGATCGTTCTTCTCCATTCGAATCTACAATTTGAAACGAGCGCCTAGCTTCACTGACGAACAGACTGTTAGTCTGTTTTGACGTTTCAAAAGTACCTAATTATGGTTTAGTTGGAATAAATGATTTTGACTTTGACTTTGAGGTGAGTGATGTTTTATCTATACTTCTATACTATATATATATATATATATATATATATAATAATATTATAAAGCTGAAGAGTTTGTTTGTTTGAACGCGCCAACCTCAGGAAGTAATGGTTCAAATTGAAAAAATATTTTGTGTTGTATAGACCATTTATCTAGGAAGGCTTTAGGATGTATAACATCACGCTACGATCTGTAGGAGCCGAGCAGCGACTGAAACCACGTGATAGTAGCTAGTTGTTGATATAAATTCAGTAGTTTAATTAATGCCCTGGTAGCCCAGATGTAAAGGCGCTTGCTTCTCTTTTATTACGAAGCGAGTTCGAAACCTGACGAGTACCAATGTGACTATTTCCTTGTCATATGTATTAGTATTCTTTCTAAAAGTCATCATATCATCATCATCAGCCTATAAGTGCACACTACTGAGCAAAGGCCTCTTCTCACACGGAGAAGGTTAGAGCATTAATCACCACGCTAGCTCAATGCGGGTTGGCGATTTGAAACTTATAATTAGAAATTATAAGTCCAGGTTTCCTCACGATGTTTACCTTCACCGTATGTCAGTGGTGTCTAAATAATCTTAGAAAGTACATATAAGTCGGAAAAAGTCACATTGGTACTTGCCAGATTTCGAACCCTCATACATGAGAAGCATAAGGCATAAGGAGCCCCTTAATCTCCGGGCCACCACGACAATCAAAAGTATTGTCTCTCTAAAAGTATCGTATAGTGAAGAGAAACATCGGCATGTGAGAAAACCTAAACTAATTATGAGTTTGAAAGCCTTTAGCGAGCGTGGTGATTAGGGGTTAACTTTCTCCCTGTGAGAAGAGGCCTTTGCTCAGCAGTGGGCACTTATAGACTGACGATCATGCTCAACCAGTTTCAAGACCCAAAGAGGCTCACCACCATGAGTTTTTTTTTTATATTTAGGTATTTTATTTTACCCAGCAATAACTGTATAATATATATATATAAGATTAATTACTGTATTATGATAAGAAACTTATGCCTATCAAATAAGCCTCAAAATTCGAAATGATGTCACGTATTCTGATTTTAAAGATAAAAAATAATTATCTAAATAAGTACTTATGTATTTTTAAATCCGTTGCATATAAATCTATTATAGGCTTACTTTCCTTCCACGTGTAAAATGGTATTTGATTATAAGTGATCGCTATCACTACACAGTAAAAAACAAAGTCGCTATATCCCTATATATGCTCAAATCTTCGGATTTTGATGAGGAAAAAACGTTGCCGAACACTAGGACTCTCCGAAAATTACATACGCAAGACACCCAGACCTAAAACAACAATTTGTGGATCGTACAAAATGTTGTTTCGTGTGGGAATCGATCTCGCAGTTGCACAGCAGCCAGTTGCCCAGCCGCTACGCCAACCGTGCAGTCGAAAGTTTTAATAGACAAAATGATTGAAGAGGAAGGTTTATATGGGTCGCTAGTCCAAACTAATATTATAAATGCGAAAGTAACTCTGTCCGTTTGTCTGTCTTTTCTTCACGCCTAACTACTGAACCTATTTGTGTGAAATTTGGTAGAGACATAGTTTGGACCTTAAGAAAGTACATAGGTTAGTTTTTAAACCAAAAATCTGCAGGAAATCACAAACGTTACTTATAAATAAATAGGTACTACACGTAAGAAAAACGTGACGTCACAACGTTTATTATAATTTGCATTGATTAGTTTTTCAAATACCATATTGTAAGTCAATAGAAATCTAAACGCGGAAATCAAGGTCCAACATAAGTAATCAATTCTCTACAGTCGTACAAACAATAAATACAAACAAGACCAAAACTAGAATTCGGTCACCAATCACGTGTCAGAATGGAGGGCGATAGTATTATCAGTACCTACGTTATCAGAACACGTGTTCAGAGAGTTCAACGCGCTTAGTTTCATAAAACTGTCTTCGTTATATTGAACCATATTGTCTTATTTCTTATACAGTCAGATTGTGGGCAAGCTTCGGCACGAATGGGTCGGCTCGACCTCACGGAAAACCGGCGTGAAACAACCACGACGTTATGTTTCGCTGTGTGAGTCAGGTTACCGGAGGCCCAATCCCTCAATCCTTCCCCAATATTCCAAATCTAAAATCCCTAAACGGTCGGCAACGCACTCGTAACTCCTTTATTGGGGGTGTCCATGGGTCGCGCATGGATTGCTTACCATCAGGTAATCCGTCTGCTCGTTTACCGATCTATTAAATAAAAAAAGTCAGAACAAAATAAATAAAAACATTCATCATTCAAACGTCACATTACATCTTCAGCCCATAAGTGCTCACTGCTGAGCGAAGACCTCGTCTCACACGGAGAAGGTTTGCCCAAGCGTACGGCGCGTAGCGTTCCGCGCGCGCCTCAAAGAGCCAATAGACCACCACAGACGGGGCCCTATAGGGCTGATGTTCAGCCGGGGTTGCGGGGTAAGCGCAATGAGGCACCGCGACTTCGGCCCAGAGCAGGAGAAGGAACAGGGGGGTTTTTAGTCAGTAAGAGTCTGACACTCCCTCCCGCCCGGCCCTGGGCGTGAGAAGTCATTTGATGATTTTCCCCTTACAAAAAAAAAACACGGAGAAGGTTTGAGCATTAATCACCACGTTTGCTCAAGGTGGATTGGCGATCTCAAACTAATAATCAGAAAGGTGAAGAAACTGCCACCAGCTTTCTACATAGATCATTTGCATGGCCTAAGCATCCTGCATAACTAGCCCACTCGCCGCTTACGAACAGTTTCCATCCTCCGAGCAGGGTCACTACCCTCGCGACTCCACTCTGAACGGCCAACTGTTGGCTGATAGAAGAAGTTGTGATTTTGTTTCAAAAATAATTGCTTACGATCGGTTTAAGTCACCATTAAATGATTCTGAGAGAATGATGAATGCAGTCACATCCTTGAAATAAAACTTAAAAAAAGTATTATCCAAACA